AGTGACACTGTAACTTCTCGTCAAATCTCCAACATCTATAATCACATACATATTCCCAAGAATGGAGACATAATTATTCACCGCGGAAAGATGTCACCCCATGGTCACACGATGAACCCTCATAGAACCCCTTACATACTCATTTTAGAAGAGGAGAGAGTCTTCACGATCGTTCTAGAAGGAACTGGTCTAGCCGTTTATAACCTAATTCTGTCGAATATCAGTGTGGACTGTTAATAATTTAATACAGAATTTAAAGATGGTCCGCTGAAACAGCAGATAGTAGTAAGATTTAAGTTGCCGGTTACGCATGAAAATGAGACGAAAATATAAAGATATAATCATCAGTGATTTACTTAGTAATCAACTTAAGATGGCCCCTAATGTACTCTGAATTTTTGTTCAATTCCTTACTCCTTCAAATACGTCCCAGCGGTGGTATCTGGCTATCACTAAGAGTTTTAAAGGGGGGGGAAAACTAAGTTTTTCGTTAGAAAAACTATAAAGTATCTAACGGTGTGCCAATAGTAATAATTTCAATTGGCTTTTATTTCTTGAACCCTAAACTAAAAATGAACCCCGCTAATCTAATCTATTGAAAATGAACAAATTTTTAAACATATCTGTCAACCCCACCCCCCAAAATTTTAAATTTTTACACTGGGTAAATTTCTTCGCTCACCCTTTCGAGAACCCCTTTAAGGGGGGGGGGGGGGGGGGGGGGGGGGCCCCAATGGGTATTTTTTTGTGAAATTATTTCAATACCCCAATTTTTTACCAAAAACCCAAAAATAAGACCATGACCGAACTTTTTAGGGGGTCCCCGCCCCAACCGCCAAAAGGTGCGCGCAGGCAGCCACGCCCTATTTGGGCCAAATTAGGCCCATTTAGCCAAATACCCCCGAACTGCCCCAAAACAAGGTTTTTTGGTGCTCTACTTGTAGCTAGTGGTCTCCTGAACCTCGTATATGAAATTTCATCAAGATTGGACAAAAAATGACTGAGTTATGAGCCAAAAACCATATGCCCATATTTGGGCATACGCACCAAATTTGGTAGATTTCGTCCCATAAATTGGTCAAAATATCAATATTTTTGAATGAAACTTACTTTATATGAAAGGTAAGCCTAAACTACATATTATCTGTAAGTTATAGCTTTATATCTGTTTAAATGTGGATACTAAAGGCGAAAAAACCACAAAAAATGAACTAAATTGCCCATATCTCGGTTCGCGATATTTGCGGAATTGATCTCATTAAAATTGTAACAACTCAATGAGTTTTCAAAATTTTTGCATGAAATTTTCGGAATCGACTCGAAATTGCATTTCCACCTTATTTTAAATACGGATTTTTGATTAGGCCTCCAAAAAATTTGGCGGCCAAATTCTGAATTTTTGTGAGATAATTTTGGAATTTGGCCGCCAAATTTTTTTGGAGGCCTAAATCAAAAATCCGTATTTAAAATAAGGTGGAAATGCAATTTCGAGTCGATTCCGAAAATTTCATGCAAAAATTTTGAAAACTCATTGAGTTGTTACAATTTTAATGAGATCAATTCCGCAAATATCGCGAACCGAGATATGGGCAATTTAGTTCATTTTTTGTGGTTTTTTTCGCCTTAGTATCCACATTTAAACAGATATAAAGCTATAACTTACAGATAATATGTAGTTTAGGCTTACCTTTCATATAAAGTAAGTTTCATTCAAAAATATTGATATTTGACCAATTTATGGGCCGAAATCTACCAAATTTGGTGCGTATACCCAAATATGGGCATATGGTTTTTGGCTCATAACTCAGTCATTTTTTGTCCAATCTTGATGAAATTTCATATACGAGTTCAGGAGACCACTAGCTACAAGTAGAGCACCATAAACCTTGGGTTTTGGGCATGTTCAGGGTATTTGGCTAAATTGGGCTGATTTGGACCAAATTTGGGCGTGGCTGCCCTGCGCGCACCGTTTGGCGGTTGGGGTCCGGACCCCCTCAAAAGTTCGGTCACTGGTCTTAGTTTGTTGGTCAACTACTATCTCGAAATCAAGTTTCACAAAAAATATCCATTGGCCCCCCCCCCCCCCCCCCCCCCCCCTTAATTAAAGTGCCTAATGATAACCTTTGTTTTATTTATTTATTTATTATTTGGTAATATTATTTATTGGATGTTACGTAGAACAATACGCTTTACACTGGAACAAACCGGGCTGTGTACAGTGAGCACAACCTTTAAACAGGAACAAAGCTTTAACAAATGTTGATCAAGCAATCCTCCACGCCCACATGAAAGGTTGTGCACACTGTACACTGCAGTACACAGCCCACTAGTTGTCCAGAACGTGTTTAGTTACACTAGAGATGGTTTATACACACAATTTAGGTTAAATTGTTTATAAACAAAAGGTCTAATGTGTCACCTAATAGTGGTACCTATATCAACACCTTTCAGTGGAACACCACCTTGACTTTCCCTAAATACCCTCGCAATATTGCAAAGTGTGATGTACCAAGATATGCACTATGTACATTGAACATCACACTTTCTGTGTAAATGTACCGCATGCATAGTTCATAAGATATAATCAGAATAGTTTGTGTAGTTATATGCTAACAAGTGGTAGGGGGGGGGGGGGGCAAGTGGATATTTGTAGACATTTGTAGATTAATGTAGAATGGATAATCCACGAACAAAGTGGATGACATTCTACAAATTTATACATTTATCTCCAAAAATTCAGTAGAATTTCTGGGCACATATTTGAGATTACATTTTTTGTAGATAAATGTAGATATTTGTAGATTATTGTCAATGGATAATTCACGAAAATTCTACAAATTCTACAAATTTATACATTTATCTCCAAAAATTCAGTAGAATTTCTGGGCACATATTTGAGATATACATTTTTTGTAGATAAATGTAGATATTTGTAGATTATTGTAATGGATAATTCACGAAAAAAGTGGATGACATTATCCAAATATCTACAAATATCCACTTGGCTCCCCCCCGTTGTAGTTATAGTTTGTAGTTATATGCTAACAAGTTGTAGTTATAGTTTGTAGTTATATGCTAACATGTTGTAGGTATAGTTTGTAGTTATATGCTAACAAGTTGTAGTTATAGTTTGTAGTTATATGCTAACAAGTTGTAGTTATAGTTTGTAGTTATATGCTAACAAGTTGTAGTTATAGTTTGTAGTTATATGCTAACAAGTTGTAGTTATAGTTTGTAGTTATATGCTAACATGTAGATAAAGGTCAGCGGGCGTTTTGTATAAATACAAAACGCCCGCTAACCTGTATCTACCATGCTACCTTGATCTAGAAGTGGGGAACACAGCTACGTTTCTGGAATATTAACCGCTGTTTTTTATTATTATTTCGGTTGTCTGACGACCACGGTGTAGTCCTCCAATCTCATTAGAAATCTAATCCTAAACCTCATTCCCGTCAGAGATCTATCGGTCGCGGGTACAAACAAAAACCGGGTATTTCGTGGGAGACCGGAGTATTATTAGATTAACTGTCCTGAGTAGTGCCGCAGAAATTAGTTCTAGAACAACAGGTTTATTCTGGAACTTATTAAGAAATGTGATTTCTTGGTTTTTTGGTCACCAATAAAACGTTCTAGAACGATAGCTATAGGTTCGTTCGAGAATTTTAGAACTTTATAAGTACAGTATATACCGGGCCAATCGGGGGAAACGAAAGGTGCACGGTATAGAAATTAGAAATATATAATATGAAATTAACGAATATTACTGAACTTCTCATTATATTATACATATAGAGGATCGCAGTAGGAATGTGCTCATCTTTGGTTTGAAGGAGACTGAAGAAGAGAAACTGTGCGATAAAGTTGACGTGATTTTTCAGCAGATTGATGAAAAACCACGTTTTTCAGCTATCTGGGTTGGGAGGAAATCAGCCGACAAGACGAGACCAGTCAAAGTTTCGCTAGGTAGTTCTAGTACCGTTCATCAGATATTAGTAAATGCCAAAAAATTGAGACTGTGTGAAGATCACAAAACTGTTTTCATATCTCCAGATCGATCACCTGAAGATCGAGCTATCCATCAGCGGTTGGTCTTGGAAATGAAACAGATAGCCAAAGAAGACACAAAAAACACACTAATTATATCAGAAGTGGTAATATTTGTAGTGAGGACAAGATGTTAGAGAGTGATACATAATAATGAGTGATATACGTCCATAAGTTTTTACCGTGTGATAAATTTTTTTCAAAATGTCAAATAAGTACTTTTGATTTTTATATTTTTTACTAGTATATTCATATATTGAGTATCTAGTTTTGGATTATATCGCGAGGCCAGCCGCTTTGACATCGGCAATCTTTATTTTTTATTTGGATTGTTGATATAAGCGGGATAAAAATGCTTTATTTCATTTTATTTCATTTCGTATACAAATATTATATTGTTTTTTAATAATATAATTACGATTGTAATATAAAACTTCTATTAATTTGTCATCCTTGTAATATAATCCATGACCCCAATCCCAGGTTTCTGCAGTCTCTTCAATAGCCTGTCAAGTGTCTCATTAGGGCCTTAAATGCACATTGCACGTGTTAAGATGGCATTTGAAATATGTACTCAAATCACCAGCAAATGAGAAATATGAGCTATGATAAATCAAATTTCTTGCACAAAACGAACTAATTAACTTTAAGTTTGGGGGAAAAGAAGAGGCTATTACATCGATATACCCAGTGTAATAGAGAGACACAGTATATCTATAATCTAACTGTATGCGAAAAATACGCATTTTTAAGTCGTATTTATCACGTACAAAACGTAAGATGGGACACGATCATCATTTAATAGTCACGTATATTATACGGTAACACAATTTGATTTCATACAGTTAATGAGGCAGCTATGGGCTATAAGCCCTGGAATCGGTGAGCAAATTCTTTGTCGTGCTGTAGTAACGGCTAATTAAATAAGCTTGTTTATTATAGAATCAGGACTCACCTCAATACGAGAGGTCTGTAGACATTTCTGAAAATAATATCAGTTATCATTATAACAGTTATATGAGTTACATCACATCATATTCTAATGATCAAATTCCGGATATTATCCAATTCATGGAGCTAGAGCTAATTCATGAACTGTAATGAACATGTAATTGAATTGTAACATTCTGTTGAGGATGAGATCATTGATTGCCACGTAGTATTAGTGTCAAGTGTACATGACCGAGAACGGGTTTCCGTTTTCAAGGTACTAGCAGGAAGTTGTGCCAAGAGACCAAAAAAATTATTTATTTTGTGATTTTTACGTGCCACTTAGTATAGTGGTCCAAGTTTTGGGTCCTAAAGTTTTTATTCCTAGGCCAATTTTTTGTTAGAGCATATTTTATTTCCATCACTTATACATTTAAAGTTTAGTCATTATCATCAAAAAGTGATGTTCAAGATGGAAATTCTCGCAGAGATGAAAAATTCCCAGTTTCTGAGCCGAAAGGATATCCTATTTCTATCCTCAGGGGAATATTGGAAAATACGCCGCCGGTTTTGTAAATAAGTCACCAGGTATTTTATTTGTGCCACAGTTAAGTTAGTTCTCTTAAAATGCACAGAAAAGACTTTTGATCTAAGATAATCACGTTTCACAATAATTATTGAAATGAGTATTGTAAGATGTGATAATTACCTCAATAAAGTAAGGGTTCTCATAGTAGAAGCTTATCTGTTATCAGTAATGTCTTGCACCTGAAAAGATATGGTTCAGTAACAACAAACATAAACGTACGCCTACTTTACATCGACCAATAATTCAAGTAACGTCAACAAGCATGTCATTTTAGCATGAGTAAATGTCACACAAGAACAGCATAATAGCGATAATTTAAAAACAGAAAACAAATACTCACTCAGCTAAGATGGACAATCCTTGGCTATGAAAAATGTTACGTTAGAATAATTACTCGGTTGAACTTAGCTAATTCAAAGTCTGCTAACTTTTTTAATCGAAAATGTTCTCTAATTTTATAGAACAGCAAAACAAAACATTTTTCTACAGAATTCTGGAGTCTCAGATGAACCCAGCTGCGATGATACAACACGAACTCGGGAAACCCTCGCGTAAATAAAATACTGAAAACAAAGTGACTTTGACATAAGAGATAAACACAAACATTTCCAAACATCTCTCTGGTAGACTCTAGTGTCGTTTTTAAATTCCAAATTGAATTAACTTAATAGAATAATCCACAGTCAAAATTTAATTCAAGATCATTCGAACCTTGGTATTGTTAATAAATTTAATAAATTTACATGAATATTCAATACTATTCATAACTATAGTTTACAGTTTACTGCAGAATAATAATAATATAATAATTCTATATAGTTACAAAATTGAAACAATTATAACCCCTTATTGTGGGCAGAGTATGTGTCTTTGTTGAGGGGGCCGGGGGGGTCTTCATGATCAAAATTCTCTCGAAATTGACTTTATAGTTGTTTCTGGTAGAAGGGAATGATATCTACCAGCTGCTTTTGGTCCCATGGAAAAATATCGTTCCTAGCCGAAATTATCGCCAGTCTAAGGTCAGCGCTTGTGCGTAATTGTATTGCGCGAGCGATTTTCAATCGCAAATCCTGAAAATTGAGTCTAAAAATCTATCTTCTCCTACATTTTTTGAGCAATCAATATCCTGAATCAATATCCTGAAAGTTTCAGGGTGATTGCTCAAAAAATGTAGGAGAAGATAGATTTTTAGACTCGATTTTCAGAATTTGCAATTGAAAATTGCTCGCGCAATACAATTACACATAAGAGCTGACCTTAGACCGGCAATAATTTCGGCTAGGAACGATATTTTTCCATGGGACCAAAAGCAGCTGGTAGATATTATTCCCTTCTACCAGAAACAACTATAAAGTCAATTTCGAGAGAATTTTGATGAAGACTCAAACGAGCATACTGTACGGAAATAGCTTTAATTCTACGTCATATTAAAAACTTTACATCATTTTTGAGATACAAAAATAAATTTTATCAAATTTAAAGAATATCAACAGTCAGAACTGATTGGCAGAACAAAGTGTGTTAAAAGAATTTATTTATAACTCTTTTGCTGCTTAGGCGCGGCACAGCGCTTGACCCACATGCTATACAGCGTGTAGCAACACAGCGCCGAAAATGAAAAAGCTATAAGCGGTGCGCCGCGCCTAAACCATAAACTCTCAATATTATTAAGATAAACAACTTTGCGAGATAATTTAGCATGCTGACTTTGTAGGATATCATAATTATACCCGTGCCAGTTCCAAATGTGAGTAAGCGCTTAAACCAAAAGCAGTTGGCAAAAGGAGCCAGTTGCCTGTAAGAGCTTTACTAGCACCCGATTTACCACTTTTGGAGCACAAACTCAAACCTAAAACCGGCCGAGCACAAAGATATGTTATTGCCACGATTGGGTGGATTGATTCCCAGAATATTTATCAGCACGCAGCACTAATAATATGAAGTTCATTATCGAATTTTAGATAGGCCATGGATTGTTTAACACATATAAGTTGGTCATTAGAGAATAATTAATGTTTGGTAATCGATATTAATTAAATATTTAAAATAGTATTTGTGTTTTTTATTGTTAACTATTAAGTTACGTTCAATTGAAATATTTGCTTAAAACACTATTACATGTTTTTTTTTTTAACCAAAATATTCACAAAACAAAACGACAGGGACACAGAAAGGAGAAAGACAACACATCACACGGACGGAAACTGCTGCTGAGTTGACGAGTATCTGATTGTATCAATTATGGGTCTCTTGTAATTCATTAAAATAAGTGTGATCATACTTCTAGAGTATATTGGGCTAACACAGCTGCTGCAAGGTTAACATTGGAGTCCAAAGACCGGAGTGTGATACAACAAGAGAGAGGAACCATCTTTAGCAAGTATTTGGAACTGACAGCCCAGTTCCACGGCTCAGTTTTGCGACCAGATTTAACACAAAACTCTGCGCAATGAGTTTTGAAAAGTTTTGTTTACAATGTACGTTTCTACGGTTGGTATTTGCACGCAGATTTGCACGCGCACGTGGGCGCATTATAATGAAATGTCCCACGCGAGCGCCCAGGTTAAAACTGCTTTCACGGAGTTTTGGGTCATATCAAAAATGTTTCTCTGTGCGGAGAAATATTTTTGAATTTCATTTCCGGTCGCAAAAATGTGAGAAAAATGTGAGCAAATCTGGTTGCAAAACTGAGCCGTGGAACTGTAGGTTAAGACTATTACAAATACCGTACTTTAAGTTTGCGAAGACATGTGGACTAGGTGGGTCAAGAGTACTCTACTTGAAAGTGGGTGTTGAGAATCCTCAACTTAACTAAATATAATGACGTCCAGAAGATGAGGCAATAGAGTGAGTAGAATAGGCTGAAGGGGAAGGAATGTCACAAGGAGATGGGCAGGGAGAGCACTATAATATCACCCTGATTTGGCTGCCGAATTCTGAAAAATGCCCGGCAAATTTCAGAATTTGGCCGCCAAATGTTTTAAAAGGCCTAACTCAAAATTCTGGGTCACGAAAAACTCTCCGAACCTCCACGTGGTGTGGCCTGGTTGGCACTAACAGGTGGTGTGCTCTCTTGTTGAGTACTAAGGTTGGGACTTGCCAACTCAAAGCTCCCAGAGGAACCAGGAAGTCAACACTAACAGCTACCAAGCACCAGGAAATTTCTCTTTCAGATATCAGGTTACAAGATAGTACACACACAATTGACGATACGTTAGACACAGATACCTAGCTCTAAGAGCTATTAAATCACCAGGAAATTCTCTTTCAGCTTTCAGGTCCCATCGAAGTCACCCACCACAGAGCTAGGGATTCCAATTCGCTCATCCTGACTACAAGGACACACTGATAATGAGTAGTCTTGGCACTTCTCCCTCCAGTAACCACTTTTCAGGTCTTTTCAGTTAAGACAGCTAATGCGTAAGGGTTGACACACGCTAGACACAGGCTCGTGATAAGACAGAATTAGGGATTTCAACTCTGACTACGAGGACACACTGATAACGAGAATTCCTGGCACTTCTTCCTCCGGTAACCACTTTTCAGGGGACCGGGTTAGCTTTGCCACACTCTTTATTGAAGTGTGACTGGACGCTCTACAATCATCTAGTAGCAGCAGAGTTTAACTGACACCCTTACTGGTTCTATTCAGTTCTACAGCGGAAGATCTCAACGCTCGAAACAGTTCATCTCGGACATCCTGCAGAGATGCTTTATCACAGCCTGCCCCATTACACGGGGAACCCTTAGATCTACAGTACCCTGGTGGACAGCATAGCTCACTAAAGCATAGTGGACCTCTTTAGTTCTGAGACGCAAAGCTAACCGGACCAGGAATAAACATCAATGCAATGCTTAGGGGATGCAAATAGGACATACAACGTTTAACGATTTACTCGAACTTTTGATTCTTTTTTAAGCTCGACGTTACATGGTATCAATTCAGGACAGATATTTCTTCTTCAGGTTATTGAGGAAATCGTACCCGCTATTTGCGTTATACATGGCAAGTATCTGGACTAATGATAACTTAGGATCTCAATCAATCATAAAATTCCTCTCAGATTCCCAGGCTGCATTTAAAGCCCTTAACAGCACCAATTTTAACTCCAGGTTCGTTCTGAACATCTCAGACCAACTCAACTCGCTAGGTTTTTTCATCGAGTAGAATTTTGTTCCAGGACATGAAGGAGTATACGGAAAAGACCTAGTGAACGAATTCGCAAGGGACGTTCAATCCAACAGCATCCCCATAGGACCAGAACCCTTCCTCACAAATACACCACACTCAGTGACAAAGGATCATTCCACTTGAGATGTTCCTCGGACACAAATATAAATACAAGAACTTTTATTTTTCTGGAACTCACATCAGATGGCTAACATGGTCGTTTTCAGGATAGGTCACAGCCCACTAGTTTATTTTCAGAACGTGGCAAACAACGTCAACTTCGAGACACAAGATTGTGAACACTTTTCAGGAGAAGCAGAAACATCCCAGCACCTCCTCTGCAAGTGCATCCAGATTATGACGTTCAGAATGAGGATAATTGGTAAACTCTACCTTAACAACAGTGAACTACAATCATATCTTCAAATTTGTGGAACAGTCGACAAGACTGGATAGGGAAAACCCTTTTGGGTAACCTCCTAGGATTCTTCACCAGGAACTTTCGCTAAATTCCATACTAGGAACTCAACCTAGGCCCATCTCCGCATAGAGACATATCTCCCAGGCTTTGACCTTGCTCGGAAGTCCCTTGTCTGCCCGCAGAAGTACTACAACGGAAGTGGGTTTGCTCTGAGACAGCTAGTGACAGCTTCAAGACTCCAGGGGTCTGTTGCATTGATATTTATTATTTTATGATTTCGTATATACTTTGGGAGTCCTGGCGTGCAGCTAGCAGGAGTTGCATTCTGTGGGCACGGCGAGAAGGCTTCCCTCTTATAGTAGGAGGCCTGAAACCGTTGACCAGAACAGAGAGAGAGAGAGAGAGAACTCAAAATTCTGTCCCAAAACTTAAGGTCGGGATGCGATTCTACGTTGATTCTAAAAATTTCATGTAAAAATATTGAAACCCTATTGAGTTCTATTGTTTTGAGCGAAGTCAGTTTTGCAAATATCGCGAACTGAGATATGGGCAATTTTGTTCATTTTTTGTGATTATTTGAACACAGAATCCACAGTTAGGTAGAGATTGAGCTGATATTCATAGAGAATGTGTAGTATAGGCTTACCTTTCATATAAAGTTGGTTTCATTCAAAAATATTGATATTTGACCAATTTCTGGGCCAAAATCGATCAAAATTGGTGCGTTTGCCCAAATATGGTCATATGGTTTTTGGCTCATAACTCAGCCATTTTTTGTCCAATTTTGATGAAAATTCATATACGAGTTCAGGGGACCACTAGCTACAAGTAAAGCAACTAAAATCTGGGTTTTGAGCATGTTCAGGGTGTTTGGTTAAATTGGGCCTAATTTGGACAAAATATGGGCGTGGCTGCCCCGCGGGCACCGTTTGGCGGTTGGGGTCCGGGACCCCCTCAAAAGTTTGGTCAATTTGTTGGTCAACTGCTATCTCGAAAACAAGTTTCACAAAAAAATCAGGGTGAACCCCCCCCCCCCCCCCCCCCCTCGTTTTATGCATGCAACTGTCATCTTCCCTCAAGCTTTTTCCTAATAAAAATAATTTAAAGTTAAGTAAAAAGTTTTTAAAAATGAGACTTTAGCTATAACTTTATAGAAACTAAAACAACTGAAATAGCGTACAACCAAACCAATGCCCACTACTGATATAAGGTACAAAATGTAGGGCATAAACATAACAGAGTGAAACGGGCCAAATAAGAATGACAATACAACTCTTCACCCCAGCATCTAGCATGATGTAATACAACACCAGTGTAACGTTACACCGGACTTGTCAAAACGAAAGTACCAGCAGTAATATAATCGTCAAGCAAGTAGTCCAGTGTATCAATCATAGTAAATTTATCTTTAAAGCCATGCTTCTGCGACATATGTCGGTATTTACTACTTAATAATTTCTTTTTAAATCCTAAATTAACGAAAGAGTTAAGCATTATCTCAACCCGTATTTTAAAACCATTAAAATTATTTCAAATCCTAAAAAATCTAACGAGTTGAGAACCAAATACTCCAATGAGTACATCTCTAGACATGTTACTACAATTAGGAGAATACTGAACGATTTTGAACGGAACATCGTCCCGTTTATCATAAACTCTAAATATAAAGTGCCCCTCTTCTATAAATATATCCAAATCTAAAACATGAGCCTTGGTATCAACCTCATTTCCTTATTTAATTTCAAACTATATATAAACACACCATCTCATCCACATAAAACACACCATTCCGATCAACCTATTTTTATTGACGCGGAATGCGCGGCGTGTGTGTGCAAAGATTTGTTGTTGAATTATATTATATGTGCAATGAATAATTGAATTATATGTGCAATGTGCATATATAATAACATAACATTTGTGTTATATTACAAGGCGTACCTATCCCTTGTCATACGTTGTATGACCCGCCGCGCACGAAGTGCGCGGCTCCCCCTGTAGCGTCGAAGACGCTACAGGGGGAGCATAGTGAAACGACCGTGAAACGACCGTGGGGGTCGCAACGTGATACAACTGATACCCTCATCAGGGCCTCTTCACAAGAATTGTGTAACAATTTATTGGACCTGCATGGGTGCGCAGTGCATTCAGGGCCAGCTAGAGATCAAGTTATTACAAATTATTAAATTTTACATATCCTTACCTGGGGACCTCTTGTAGGTTTACAACCGGAACCTACCAGGACGCGCGCCGAGTTGGACTCGTCGACGGTCCTGGTAGCTTCCAATATTGAATATTGAATATATGGAACAGATATTTTACGAGTATCACCCGTTTAGGGACCTCAGGCTAGTCCGGCGTGCCACGGGCGCTACTTTGTAGCACATGCTTCGGCCCCACATTTTGAGATAAAAGCGGGACGTGCTAGCCTTCGAAAAAAATTAAACGAGTAACATCCGTCAACAGTGCATCACGCTAAAAGAAATATTTATAAAATATGCGTTTGAAAATATTAGACCGCGCGTTCAAATATTAAACCGCGCGTCTTAGTACATTTAAATCCTATAATCCATATAGGGATAGGTTGTATCACGTTGCGACCCCCACGGTCGTTTCACTATGTTTCACCCTGTAGCGTCTTCGACGCTACAGGGGGAGCCGCGCACTTCGTGCGCGGCGGGTCATACAACGTATGACAACAAAATACATCGAATTATAAATTAATTTCATACCTGATACCTTGTCATACGTTGTATGACCCGCCGCGCACGAAGTGCGCGGCTCCCCCTGTAGCGTCGAAGACGCTACACATAGTGAAACGACCGTGGGGGTCGCAACGTGATACAAGTATTTTGGACGTGACGCTGATTCCAAATTACATTTACCCCTAGCTGCGCATAACGTACAAAGTGCAAAGTTTTAAAAATGCTTCCCTGGCACCTGGAGAGTTTAAAAAACAATTTTTGAGAGAAAAGACAATTTTATTATTTATCACCAATTCTATACTCAGGCAGACAGTGGGATTCAAACCCGCAACCTCACGATTGCAAAGCTGGCGTTTTAACCAACTGCGCTACCTGGCCGTTAAAATTTGTTTTATTTTTCTGTGAAAAGCACAATAGAGCTTGTAGAGCGATGCAATACTTTAGATCGGCGAGATGCGCTACTGTGCCGCGCCGAGCTGAGATGAATTGACATCGTCAATTAAAATAGAGCAAATAGGTTTTGTTTTAAAAGTTATCTTAAACAATTCCCCGTTCAATTTTGGTCGAAACATGTCAATTTAGTGCAAATGAAGCAAGTTCTAAAACTATTTCATACGTATTAAATTAGTAAATTGAATTAGGTAGTGCGCCATCGACAGTGAGCCGCGCGTGCCGACTGTAGGATGGTTTTTTAGCGCTAATTTCGGCCAGCACAATTTTCTTCAAACAAATAGATATTAAGTATCCTTCCCGACCTCCGATTCCAACAAAAATTGGTAAGCTTACTTATAGACTTACAAGGAAAGTGTCCGAAAAGTTTAAAGCATATCCAACCATCAGACATTATGTTACAGCTAAAAGCAGCGTATTTTGCCCCATTTTGATCACTATATCAACTCCGATATCCACCAAATTTTTCGGACAGTTGTGAAAGTCCTATTGGTAGGTCGTCGCCAATTTTCAGAATGATCTCATTCAAGGAACTGAAGATAAATCCAAATAATACGACAAAAATCAACGAATTTGGTCAAATTTGGTCAAATTACGCGACTTTTACAGCTAATTTTGCTCCAAAAGCCGCGCACCATCAAATATGGCACCTAGACGAAACTCTCTGATTTTTCCAAAAAGGTATGACAAATTTGGTATTGTGAAAATTCACACAGTCTCTAGAAAACAATGGTACAAAAATTTTTAAAATCCGAGCAAGTATATTTTTATGGTGCACCCCCTAATTGAATGTTATTTCTGTTATAGAAATATAATGCTCGCTATTATTATATATTGGTTATAAAACGTTGTAAAGGTTATTAAAAGTTGTAAATAGGCTGTCGGTCGTGCATGCATCGGGATTTTTGAAATTGATTCCAAATTCCAAATCAGGGTATGCATTTGAGTAATGATTCCTGTAAAAAGCAATTATCCAGTTTCATATAAATTTGCATAAAATTATTATTTAAAGAATGGTACGTTCGGCACTATCAACTGTGTCGTCGTGCATCGACAAATAAAATCGGGGAATGCTTTCTTTTACTGTACTTAACGTAAACTCACGATTTACTTTTTTCCTTGCCGTACAACAAATAACAGTGGCTTTTTAATTCTAAAACAAGGATATGTTAACAGTTGACGGTGGATGGACTGACTTTGGAGAGTGGTCGGTCTGTTCTGCTGATTGTGGAGGAGGTTCTCAAAGCAGGAGTAAGACCTGTACAAACCCAAGTCCAGCGAACGGAGGACAAGAGTGCGAGGGGGAAGATGAGGAGTCGAGGACTTGCAACCCTGAACTCTGTCCAGGTCAGAGTACTTTTTATGTAACCAGCCATATATTTTAAAATAGTTTGAGTAGTAGGCGGTGGCATATTAGATGCACAAACTGATTATGAGGACGTTTCGAAACAATATTAAGAGAATAAATCAAAAGGATGTGTTTTTAAACGTTAGGTATTATGTCTTTTATGGTACAAAACGATGTTTGTAAATCAAAATAAAAACAGCAAAACCCCGATTTACCGCGGAGTTTGGGGAAAGGAAACAACCACAGCAAATCGGGGTTTGCGGTAAATCGGAGTATTTTGTTCACGTGTTAAGCCCTATTTAGGGGAAAGAAATATCCGCGGTAAATCGGGGTTTGCGGTAAATTGGGGCGCAGTAAATCGGAGTTTTACTGTACTTAACGTAAACCCGCGATTTACTTTTTTGATTTTTCCTTGCCGTACAACAAATAACAGTGGCTTTTAAATTCACAAATAAGGATATGTTAGCAGTTGACGGTGGATGGAGTGACTTTGGAGAGTGGTCGGTCTGTTCTGCTGATTGTGGAGGAGGTTCTCAAAGCAGGAGTAAGACCTGTACAAACCCAAGTCCAGCGAACGGAGGACAAGAATGCGAGGGGGAAAATGAGGAGACGAGGACTTGCAACCCTGAACCCTGCCATGGTGAGATTGCTTTTTATGTAACCAGCCATATTTTAAGGCAGCTTGAGCAGTTGAAGGTAGCATATTAAATGCATATACTGATTATGAAGACCTTTTGAAAAAAAAAATTAGTGAACAAATCAAAAGGATGTGTTTTTTACACGATGGGTATTATAATGAATTTTATGGTACAAAACAATGTTTGTGAATCAAAATAAAAAACTTTCAAATTAACATTAAATTAATAAATCAAGTGGAATAAGTTATTTTACATTTGAGGTTATTAATGAACTGTTAAAAACGTTGTCGGACAGGAATTAAACATATAATAATTTATTTATTTTTATTTATTATCAAACATGTCAATCTTACAAATGTCAACAATCCTAAAATAATTTAGAACCTAAACGTGATCCTTTGTAAGATTATATGTCCCAAAAGTCAAATTGACTTGTACTCAAGTATAAAGTCGAACAATTTACTCCAATAACCACGGTTACTAGCAAGTTCTCTCAAATGAAGAATATCATCATACGACTCCAGCAAGATGAAACGCTTCCAGAGGTCAACCTTCAGGTGGTGTAGGAGGTTACGTCTGTGATCCCCGAGTCTACCAACTTCACTACACATCTTGACAGCAAAGCACAGCGCAGCTTGAGCTGGTGATCTTTCATCGCTTCTCAGTATGTGTCCTAGCATCTTCCACCTAGATAACTCAGCACGCTCAGACATAGGGGTAGAGTTACTCTGTTTGTATAGGGTATCTTTGGACATCATACTGCGTGGCCAGCTGACATTCATGATCTTTCTGAGGTGGTTACGGTGACATGCATCTAGTTTGTCCAAATACGATTTAGGCATTCCCCAGCAACTAGAGTTATACATGAGGATAGATACTACTTGGGCCTCATAGACCTTCAGCTTCTTCTGTAGGGGGATCTTACTCTGGCACCAGACCTTCTTGAAGTTCTGGAAAGCTACATTGGCTAACATGATTCTTCTGGTGACATCTTTCCTACTTTCTAGCAGAGAACCCAACAACTTGCTACTGCACCATTCTTCATTCATTCTAAGGGGTTATAATAAATAAATAAAAAAAAATATTGTTCTCATCTCTCTCTCTCTCTCTCTCTCTCTCTCTCTCTCTCTCTCTCTCTCTCTCTCTCTCTCTCTCTCTCTCTCTCTCTCTCTCTCTCTCTCTCTCTCTCTCTCTCTCTCTCTCTCTCTCTCTCTCTCTCTCTCTCTCTCTCTCTCTCTCTCTCTCTCTCTCTCTCTCTCTCTCTCTCTCTCTCTCTCTCTCTCTCTCTCTGTCTCTCTCTGTCTCTATCTCTCTGTCTCTGTCTCTCTGTCTCTATCTCTCTGTCTCTCTGTCTCTATCTCTCTGTCTCTCTGTCTCTCTGTCTCTCTCTCTGTCTCTCTGTCTCTCTCTCTCTCTCTCTCTCTCTCTCTCTCTCTCTCTCTCTCTCTCTCTCTCTCTCTCTCTCTCTCTCTCTCTCTCTCTCTCTCTCTCTCTCTCTTTCTCTTTCTCTCTCTCTCTCTCTCTCTCTCTCTCTCTCTCTCTCTCTCTCTCTCTCTCTCTCTCTCTCTCTCTCTCTCTCTCTCTCTCTCTCTCTCTCTCTCTCTCTCTCTCTCTCTCTCTCTCGTGCCAATGTTAATAGCTGACTCTGTGGTATTCCTGTGTTCATTTAATGACACAGATTCCCGCTCCTGTTATACCACTAGCTTTGGAGTCGTCAGTGAAGATCTGCTAGGTGTTTGGTGTGATATCTTCAATCTTACTATATATAAAGCGAGACGATATATATATATGGGTATATGGATCCGTGCCATTTTACTGACACCACGGCATTAACTTTAACGCGACTTTCCGCAAAAACCGTAAAAGATATACAACTGAAACTTTTTTGACTGGGTCAAATGCTTTTATGCTTTTCAAATCAGCATGAAAAAATAAAAAATTGGCCAAGGAATAGGAGTTTTAGAGCCCAAAATTTGGACCCCTAAGTGGTGTCAAAAACGCGAATTAAATAGGTAATAATTATTTTAGTCTCTTGAGTCTTGACACCATTGTAGGGTTATACGGGTTCCTGCTAGTATAGCTAATGGCAGATTTTCTGTCCTGAATAATTATCTGATAAGAAGACATGTACCGAATATTTTCATATTCCTTACAGGTCTTCTTGGGGGATTTTGATGAAAGAAGGGGTCTGCTAATTATTTTACGGATTCAGTCTCAGGTAGAAGGTATGAGTTCATAATAAGATAATGACACCATACTACTTAAGCTTGAATAAATTATCGGAAAGATTTGATCGGGGTGGTGGCATACTGAACATTCGGTTGAAGCATGATCCTCCGACTCGGTGTCTGGCGCCTCAGAGAAAGGTATCAGCTCGAAGTGTTATCGTACAAAGTTATAAATTGGACCGTCGCACATGCCAGCACTATGTAACTATGATAATTTAACTGCTAGAGTGCTACTGTTACTTCTGTTTCTTTTATTGAATTAATTCATCTCGCAGGGTTCAGTCTGGTAGATGAAAATGGTGAAGCCGTCGGCGCTGGAGTTCTAGGGTTATTGCTTAGCAATGGAGGAACAGTTTGTGACGATGATTTCACTGATAACTCAGCTGATGCTATTTGTAAAGAAATGGGATACTTCGGTCAAATGAGCTGGTCATTCGGTTCCAAGTGGGCCATTCAAGCGGGGTTCGAAATAACTCTCGACAACGTTGTCTGTAGCAGTGGTGATTGGAGCTCATGCTCGTTTGCATTCGTTGACGATTGTACTCACGGAGAAGATGTGTTTCTACAATGTGAAGGAGTTGGTGAGTCTATTTTAGTTTCTTGATCATGAACACTTGTTCCCGTTTCATTCTAAGATTTGGTTCAAATTTGCCGGAATCGCTAAGACAAGTCAGGATTCCAAAGATTTGGTTACTGGAGGTCCATGAGTTTTTCATTCATGTATAACAAGAAAATAATAACATCTTTTAAATCTAGTTGCCGGTGGATACACAGACCCAGATTGGTCTGAATGTTCAGCTTTTTGTGGAGAAGGTGAACAAAGCAGAACAAGGACTTGCACTAACCCTGCTCCGGCTAACGGTGGTGCAGATTGTGTTGGGGAAGCGGTTCAGACTCAACCTTGCAAACTCAATGAATGTCCAGGTTAAAGTACCTTTCACACATAAATATAAGTTTCTTTTAGTTTTTAAACTTAAAGACTAAACTTAAAAGCTATTTCAGTTGCTTAAGAAAGTTGATTTTGATTATTGCATGTTGTTAGAATTATTTTTATAAATTCATTTAAAGTAACACTAATCAAACTTTCAGAGTTAAGTCTGGTAGATGAACATGGTGAAGCCGTCGGTGCTGGAGTTCTAGGGTTGCTGCTCAGCAATGGAGGAACAGTTTGTGACGATGATTTCACTGATAACTCAGCTGATGCTATTTGTAAAGAAATGGGATACTTCGGTCAAATGAGCTGGTCATTCGGTTCCAAGTGGGCCATTCAAGCGGGGTTCGAAATAACTCTCGACAACGTTGTCTGTAGCAGTGGTGATTGGAGCTCATGCTCGTTTGCATTCGTTGACGATTGTACTCACGGAGAAGATGTGTTTCTACAATGTGAAGGAGTTGGTGAGTCTATTTTAGTTTCTTGATCATGAATACTTGTTCCCGTTTCATTCTAAGATTTGGTTCAAATTTGCCGGAATCGCTAAGACAAGTCAGGATTCCAAAGATTTGGTTACTGGAGGTCCATGAGTTTTTCATTCATGTATAACAAGAAAATAATAACATCTTTTAAATCTAGTTGCCGGTGGATACACAGACCCAGATTGGTCTGAATGTTCAGCTTTTTGTGGAGAAGGTGAACAAAGCAGAACAAGGACTTGCACTAACCCTGCTCCGGCTAACGGTGGTGCAGATTGTGTTGGGGAAGCGGTTCAGACTCAACCTTGCAAACTCAATGAATGTCCAGGTTAAAGTACCTTTCACACATAAATATAAGTTTCTTTTAGTTTTTAAACTTAAAGACTAAACTTAAAAGCTATTTCAGTTGCTTAAGAAAGTTGATCTTGATTATTGCATGTTGTTAGAATTATTTTTATAAATTCATTTAAAGTAACACTAATCAAACTTTCAGAGTTAAGTCTGGTAGATGAACATGGTGAAGCCGTCGGTGCTGGAGTTCTAGGGTTGCTGCTCAGCAATGGAGGAACAGTTTGTGACGATGATTTCACTGATAACTCAGCTGATGCTATTTGTAAAGAAATGGGATACTTCGGTCAAATGAGCTGGTCATTCGGTTCCAAGTGGGCCATTCAAGCGGGGTTCGAAATAACTCTCGACAACGTTGTCTGTAGCAGTGGTGATTGGAGCTCATGCTCGTTTGCATTCGTTGACGATTGTACTCACGGAGAAGATGTGTTTCTACAATGTGAAGGAGTTGGTGAGTCTATTTTAGTTTCTTAATCATGAATACATGTTCCCGTTTCATTCTAAGATTTGGTTCAAATTTGCCGGAATCGCTAAGACAAGTCAGGATTCCAAAGATTTGGTTACTGGAGGTCCATGAGTTTTTCATTCATGTATAACAAGAAAATAATAACATCTTTTAAATCTAGTTGCCGGTGGATACACAGACCCAGATTGGTCTGAATGTTCAGCGTTTTGTGGAGAAGGTGAACAAAGCAGAACAAGGACTTGCACTAACCCTGCTCCAGCTAACGGTGGTGCAGATTGTGTTGGTGAAGCGGTTCAGACTCAACCTTGCAAACTCAATGAATGTCCAGGTTAAAGTACCTTTCACACATAAATATAAGTTTCTTTTAGTTTTTAAACTTAAAGACTAAACTTAAAAGCTATTTCAGTTGCTTAAGAAAGTTGATCTTGATTATTGCATGTTGTTAGAATTATTTTTATAAATTCATTTAAAGTAACACTAATCAAACTTTCAGAGTTAAGTCTGGTAGATGAAAATGGTGAAGCCGTCGGTGCTGGAGTTCTAGGATTGCTGCTCAGCAATGGAGGAACAGTTTGTGACGATGATTTCACTGATAACTCAGCTGATGCTATTTGTAAAGAAATGGGATACTTCGGTCAAATGAGCTGGTCATTCGGTTCCAAGTGGGCCATTCAAGCGGGGTTCGAAATAACTCTCGACAACGTTGTCTGTAGCAGTGGTGATTGGAGCTCATGCTCGTTTGCATTCGCTGACGATTGTACTCACGGAGAAGATGTGTTTCTACAATGTGAAGGAGTTGGTGAGTCTGTTTTAGTTTCTTGATCATGAATACATGTTCCCGTTTCATTCTAAGATTTGGTTCAAATTTGCCGGAATCGCTAAGACAAGTCAGGATTCCAAAGATTTGGTTACTGGAGGTCCATGAGTTTTTCATTCATGTATAACAAGAAAATAATAACATCTTTTAAATCTAGTTAGTGGCTCAGTTGGTTAATCTGCCTGGCATTGTTTGAGGTACCAGGTTCGATTCCCGACTCTGTCACTAGCCGTGGGGTGAGCGTCGTCGACGCTCAGCTAAGGATCCTGAGTGGTCTATGCAGCCCCCCGGTCCACTCAGCCAAATACTCGAGAAATCGGGTGTGAGGGTTAAATGAGGAGCTGCCCATTGCAGCAAAGTCTCGGACGAAGAAAGTATGGTACACACTACCTTAACCGTCACTGGCCTAATGTATAATTGAATCCTTCGGCTTCCTGTAATTGGCTGGTTACACACTTGTGTAACAATGTGGCTGTTGGAATGTCCGAAGTAAAATAAGTGTTGAGATAAAAAAAATCAAGAAACTAAAATAGACTCACCAACTCCTTCACATTGTAGAAACACATCTTCTCCGTGAGTACAATCGTCAACGAATGCAAACGAGCATGAGCTCCAATCACCACTGCTACAGACAACGTTGTCGAGAGTTATTTCGAACCCCGCTTGAATGGCCCACTTGGAACCGAATGACCAGCTCATTTGACCGAAGTATCCCATTTCTTTACAAATAGCATCAGCTGAGTTATCAGTGAAATCATCGTCACAAACTGTTCCTCCATTGCTGAGCAGCAACCCTAGAACTCCAGCACCGACGGCTTCACCATTTTCATCTACCAGACTTAACTCTGCAAGTTTGATTAGTGTTACTTTAAATGAATTTATAAAAATAATTCTAACAACATGCAATAATCAAGATCAACTTTCTTAAGCAACTGAAATAGCTTTTAAGGGGAGATACACCAAAAACGTTTTTGCTCCGAACATCGATTTTATTTTATATTATGGTTTAATAGATAAAAAGAATAAGATTGCACACCTTCAAAATTTTCTAAAAATATTCCCTTATCGAGAAAAAAAATATTTTTCTTTTTCGAAAATTTTTAAAATTTGGAGAATTAAAAAACGTTTTTGGTGTATCTCCCCTGTTTAGTCTTTAAGTTTAAAAACTAAAAGAAACTTATATTTATGTGTGAAAGGTACTTTAACCTGGACATTCATTGAGTTTGCAAGGTTGAGTCTGAACCGCTTCCCCAACACAATCTGCACCACCGTTAGCCGGAGCAGGGTTAGTGCAAGTCCTTGTTCTGCTTTGTTCACCTTCTCCACAAAAAGCTGAACATTCAGACCAATCTGGGTCTGTGTATCCACCGGCAACTAGATTTAAAAGATGTTATTATTTTCTTGTTATACATGAATGAAAAACTCATGGACCTCCAGTAACCAAATCTTTGGAATCCTGACTTGTCTTAGCGATTCCGGCAAATTTGAACCAAATCTTAGAATGAAACGGGAACATGTATTCATGATCAAGAAACTAAAACAGACTCACCAACTCCTTCACATTGTAGAAACACATCTTCTCCGTGAGTACAATCGTCAGCGAATGCAAACGAGCATGAGCTCCAATCACCACTGCTACAGACAACGTTGTCGAGAGTTATTTCGAACCCCGCTTGAATGGCCCACTTGGAACCGAATGACCAGCTCATTTGACCGAAGTATCCCATTTCTTTACAAATAGCATCAGCTGAGTTATCAGTGAAATCATCGTCACAAACTGTTCCTCCATTGCTGAGCAGCAATCCTAGAACTCCAGCACCGACGGCTTCACCATTTTCATCTACCAGACTTAACTCTGAAAGTTTGATTAGTGTTACTTTAAATGAATTTATAAAAATAATTCTAACAACATGCAATAATCAAGATCAACTTTCTTAAGCAACTGAAATAGTCTGTAACTGTACTTTAGTCTTTAAGTTTAAAAACTAAAAGAAACTTATATTTATGTGTGAAAGGTACTTTAACCTGGACATTCATTGAGTTTGCAAGGTTGAGTCTGAACCGCTTCACCAACACAATCTGCACCACCGTTAGCTGGAGCAGGGTTAGTGCAAGTCCTTGTTCTGCTTTGTTCACCTTCTCCACAAAACGCTGAACATTCAGACCAATCTGGGTCTGTGTATCCACCGGCAACTAGATTTAAAAGATGTTATTATTTTCTTGTTATACATGAATGAAAAACTCATGGACCTCCAGTAACCAAATCTTTGGAATCCTGACTTGTCTTAGCGATTCCGGCAAATTTGAACCAAATCTTAGAATGAAACGGGAACATGTATTCATGATTAAGAAACTAAAATAGACTCACCAACTCCTTCACATTGTAGAAACACATCTTCTCCGTGAGTACAATCGTCAACGAATGCAAACGAGCATGAGCTCCAATCACCACTGCTACAGACAACGTTGTCGAGAGTTATTTCGAACCCCGCTTGAATGGCCCACTTGGAACCGAATGACCAGCTCATTTGACCGAAGTATCCCATTTCTTTACAAATAGCATCAGCTGAGTTATCAGTGAAATCATCGTCACAAACTGTTCCTCCATTGCTGAGCAGCAACCCTAGAACTCCAGCACCGACGGCTTCACCATGTTCATCTACCAGACTTAACTCTGAAAGTTTGATTAGTGTTACTTTAAATGAATTTATAAAAATAATTCTAACAACATGCAATAATCAAGATCAACTTTCTTAAGCAACTGAAATAGCTTTTAAGTTTAGTCTTTAAGTTTAAAAACTAAAAGAAACTTATATTTATGTGTGAAAGGTACTTTAACCTGGACATTCATTGAGTTTGCAAGGTTGAGTCTGAACCGCTTCCCCAACACAATCTGCACCACCGTTAGCCGGAGCAGGGTTAGTGCAAGTCCTTGTTCTGCTTTGTTCACCTTCTCCACAAAAAGCTGAACATTCAGACCAATCTGGGTCTGTGTATCCACCGGCAACTAGATTTAAAAGATGTTATTATTTTCTTGTTATACATGAATGAAAAACTCATGGACCTCCAGTAACCAAATCTTTGGAATCCTGACTTGTCTTAGCGATTCCGGCAAATTTGAACCAAATCTTAGAATGAAACGGGAACAAGTATTCATGATCAAGAAACTAAAATAGACTCACCAACTCCTTCACATTGTAGAAACACATCTTCTCCGTGAGTACAATCGTCAACGAATGCAAACGAGCATGAGCTCCAATCACCACTGCTACAGACAACGTTGTCGAGAGTTATTTCGAACCCCGCTTGAATGGCCCACTTGGAACCGAATGACCAGCTCATTTGACCGAAGTATCCCATTTCTTTACAAATAGCATCAGCTGAGTTATCAGTGAAATCATCGTCACAAACTGTTCCTCCATTGCTGAGCAGCAACCCTAGAACTCCAGCACCGACGGCTTCACCATGTTCATCTACCAGACTTAACTCTGAAAGTTTGATTAGTGTTACTTTAAATGAATTTATAAAAATAATTCTAACAACATGCAATAATCAAAATCAACTTTCTTAAGCAACTGAAATAGCTTTTAAGTTTAGTCTTTAAGTTTAAAAACTAAAAGAAACTTATATTTATGTGTGAAAGGTACTTTAACCTGGACATTCATTGAGTTTGCAAGGTTGAGTCTGAACCGCTTCCCCAACACAATCTGCACCACCGTTAGCCGGAGCAGGGTTAGTGCAAGTCCTTGTTCTGCTTTGTTCACCTTCTCCACAAAAAGCTGAACATTCAGACCAATCTGGGTCTGTGTATCCACCGGCAACTAGATTTAAAAGATGTTATTATTTTCTTGTTATACATGAATGAAAAACTCATGGACCTCCAGTAACCAAATCTTTGGAATCCTGACTTGTCTTAGCGATTCCGGCAAATTTGAACCAAATCTTAGAATGAAACGGGAACAAGTGTTCATGATCAAGAAACTAAAATAGACTCACCAACTCCTTCACATTGTAGAAACACATCTTCTCCGTGAGTACAATCGTCAACGAATGCAAACGAGCATGAGCTCCAATCACCACTGCTACAGACAACGTTGTCGAGAGTTATTTCGAACCCCGCTTGAATGGCCCACTTGGAACCGAATGACCAGCTCATTTGACCGAAGTATCCCATTTCTTTACAAATAGCATCAGCTGAGTTATCAGTGAAATCATCGTCACAAACTGTTCCTCCATTGCTAAGCAATAACCCTAGAACTCCAGCGCCGACGGCTTCACCATTTTCATCTACCAGACTGAACCCTGCGAGATGAATTAATTCAATAAAAGAAACAGAAGTAACAGTAGCACTCTAGCAGTTAAATTATCATAGTTACATAGTGCTGGCATGTGCGACGGTCCAATTTATAACTTTGTACGATAACACTTCGAGCTGATACCTTTCTCTGAGGCGCCAGACACCGAGTCGGAGGATCATGCTTCAACCGAATGTTCAGTATGCCACCACCCCGATCAAATCTTTCCGATAATTTATTCAAGCTTAAGTAGTATGGTGTCATTATCTTATTATGAACTCATACCTTCTACCTGAGACTGAATCCGTAAAATAATTAGCAGACCCCTTCTTTCATCAAAATCCCCCAAGAAGACCTGTAAGGAATATGAAAATATTCGGTACATGTCTTCTTATCAGATAATTATTCAGGACAGAAAATCTGCCATTAGCTATACTAGCAGGAACCCGTATAACCCTACAATGGTGTCAAGACTCAAGAGACTAAAATAATTATTACCTATTTAATTCGCGTTTTTGACACCACTTAGGGGTCCAAATTTTGGGCTCTAAAACTCCTATTCCTTGGCCAATTTTTTATTTTTTCATGCTGATTTGAAAAGCATAAAAGCATTTGACCCAGTCAAAAAAGTTTCAGTTGTATATCTTTTACGGTTTTTGCGGAAAGTCGCGTTAAAGTTAATGCCGTGGTGTCAGTAAAATGGCACGGATCCATATACCCATATATATATATCGTCTCGCTTTATATATAGTAAGATTGAAGATATCACACCAAACACCTAGCAGATCTTCACTGACGACTCCAAAGCTAGTGGTATAACAGGAGCGGGAATCTGTGTCATTAAATGAACACAGGAATACCACAGAGTCAGCTATTAACATTGGCACGAGAGAGAGAGAGAGAGAGAGAGAGAGAGAGAGAGAGAGAGAGAGAGAGAGAGAGAGAGAGAGAGAGAGAGAGAGAGAGAGAGAGAGAGAGAGAGAGAGAGAGAGAGAGAGAGAGAGAGAGAGAGAGAAAGAGAAAGAGAGAGAGAGAGAGAGAGAGAGAGAGAGAGAGAGAGAGAGAGAGAGAGAGAGAGAGAGAGAGAGAGAGAGAGAGAGAGAGAGAGAGAGAGAGACAGAGAGACAGAGAGAGAGACAGAGAGACAGAGAGACAGAGAGATAGAGACAGAGAGACAGAGAGATAGAGACAGAGAGACAGAGACAGAGAGATAGAGACAGAGAGAGACAGAGAGAGAGAGAGAGAGAGAGAGAGAGAGAGAGAGAGAGAGAGAGAGAGAGAGAGAGAGAGAGAGAGAGAGAGAGAGAGAGAGAGAGAGAGAGAGAGAGAGAGAGAGAGAGAGAGAGAGAGAGAGAGAGAGAGAGAGAGAGAGAGAGAGAGAGAGAGAGAGAGAGAGAGAGAGAGAGAGAGAGAGAGAGAGAGATGAGAACAATATTTTTTTTTATTTATTTATTATAACCCCTTAGAATGAATGAAGAATGGTGCAGTAGCAAGTTGTTGGGTTCTCTGCTAGAAAGTAGGAAAGATGTCACCAGAAGAATCATGTTAGCCAATGTAGCTTTCCAGAACTTCAAGAAGGTCTGGTGCCAGAGTAAGATCCCCCTACAGAAGAAGCTGAAGGTCTATGAGGCCCAAGTAGTATCTATCCTCATGTATAACTCTAGTTGCTGGGGAATGCCTAAATCGTATTTGGACAAACTAGATGCATGTCACCGTAACCACCTCAGAAAGATCATGAATGTCAGCTGGCCACGCAGTATGATGTCCAAAGATACCCTATACAAACAGAGTAACTCTACCCCTATGTCTGAGCGTGCTGAGTTATCTAGGTGGAAGATGCTAGGACACATACTGAGAAGCGATGAAAGATCACCAGCTCAAGCTGCGCTGTGCTTTGCTGTCAAGATGTGTAGTGAAGTTGGTAGACTCGGGGATCACAGACGTAACCTCCTACACCACCTGAAGGTTGACCTCTGGAAGCGTTTCATCTTGCTGGAGTCGTATGATGATATTCTTCATTTGAGAGAACTTGCTAGTAACCGTGGTTATTGGAGTAAATTGTTCGACTTTATACTTGAGTACAAGTCAATTTGACTTTTGGGACATATAATCTTACAAAGGATCACGTTTAGGTTCTAAATTATTTTAGGATTGTTGACATTTGTAAGATTGACATGTTTGATAATAAATAAAAATAAATAAATTATTATATGTTTAATTCCTGTCCGACAACGTTTTTAACAGTTCATTAATAACCTCAAATGTAAAATAACTTATTCCACTTGATTTATTAATTTAATGTTAATTTGAAAGTTTTTTATTTTGATTCACAAACATTGTTTTGTACCATAAAATTCATTATAATACCCATCGTGTAAAAAACACATCCTTTTGATTTGTTCACTAATTTTTTTTTTCAAAAGGTCTTCATAATCAGTATATGCATTTAATATGCTACCTTCAACTGCTCAAGCTGCCTTAAAATATGGCTGGTTACATAAAAAGCAATCTCACCATGGCAGGGTTCAGGGTTGCAAGTCCTCGTCTCCTCATTTTCCCCCTCGCATTCTTGTCCTCCGTTCGCTGGACTTGGGTTTGTACAGGTCTTACTCCTGCTTTGAGAACCTCCTCCACAATCAGCAGAACAGACCGACCACTCTCCAAAGTCACTCCATCCACCGTCAACTGCTAACATATCCTTATTTGTGAATTTAAAAGCCACTGTTATTTGTTGTACGGCAAGGAAAAATCAAAAAAGTAAATCGCGGGTTTACGTTAAGTACAGTAAAACTCCGATTTACTGCGCCCCAATTTACCGCAAACCCCGATTTACCGCGGATATTTCTTTCCCCTAAATAGGGCTTAACACGTGAACAAAATACTCCGATTTACCGCAAACCCCGATTTGCTGTGGTTGTTTCCTTTCCCCAAACTCCGCGGTAAATCGGGGTTTTGCTGTTTTTATTTTGATTTACAAACATCGTTTTGTACCATAAAAGACATAATACCTAACGTTTAAAAACACATCCTTTTGATTTATTCTCTTAATATTGTTTCGAAACGTCCTCATAATCAGTTTGTGCATCTAATATGCCACCGCCTACTACTCAAACTATTTTAAAATATATGGCTGGTTACATAAAAAGTACTCTGACCTGGACAGAGTTCAGGGTTGCAAGTCCTCGACTCCTCATCTTCCCCCTCGCACTCTTGTCCTCCGTTCGCTGGACTTGGGTTTGTACAGGTCTTACTCCTGCTTTGAGAACCTCCTCCACAATCAGCAGAACAGACCGACCACTCTCCAAAGTCAGTCCATCCACCGTCAACTGTTAACATATCCTTGTTTTAGAATTAAAAAGCCACTGTTATTTGTTGTACGGCAAGGAAAAAAGTAAATCGTGAGTTTACGTTAAGTACAGTAAAACCCCAATTTACTGCGCCCCAATTTACCGCAAACCCCGATTTACTGCGTATATTTCTTCGGTCGAACAGTCGAACTATAAGAACGCCCACCAAGATCCGTATCTACAAGGCTGCTGTTACTACTATTCTGATATATGGAGCTGAAGTCTAGAACACAACAAGGAAGCAGATGAAACGGTTTGAGGTCTTCCATCTGACCTCCCTGAGAAGAATCTTGAAGATAAAGTGGTTCTCCCGTGTGTCAAAAGAAGAAGTTCTTCTGGCATTAAGTCTATTGAAACTTTCATCGGTTCGGCTAGACTAAGGTGGTACGGACATGTTGTCAGAATGCCAGAGACACGGTTTCCCAATTTCTTACTGGATTGGAAACGGCCAAATTTTTGAAAGAGACTGAGAGGACGACCCCGCAAAGTAGGGCATGTCGTGATATCATGGATCGCTTAGGTTCCACCAGGATCTGGTATTCCTCATAATTCTGCGGCCTCTATGGTTCGTCATCTCGCACAACTCTTTAAGAATCTTGTGAGTTTGGCGTGTGAAAATTTGCAGCCTTCCAGACATTGATTGGGTCAACGAGGTGTCGTACGTCACCTCAAGATCGGGTGACAGGGGGCTGACCAGTGATCAGGCCAGAACCCAATTTATTGGGTCTGAGGTCACGTGATTATGAGCCTGAGGTCACATGATTATGACGTCACCAGAGCTTGTTCTCCGAGCTCAAGCTACTTGATCAGGCCTTATATGGAATAATATAGTGTATCGCGTGTAATTGGATCCAATTATAGGAGCTGCGCAATTATCGCAGCATATTGATCTGGTATCATCTTCTGAAACCCAGCATGCAAATTTTTTTCATTAACAAATAATCCTTCTATTTTAAAATCTATGGCCCAGCTGCATGCGCATGCAGCTGGGCCATAGATTTTAAAATAGAAGGATTATTTGTTAATGAAAATCGAAGTGAAAATCATGTAACCCTATGTTTTCGAGGACGCTGAACACGATAAAACTGGTTATAATTATCATACTTCAGGGCAAATTGCTTTAAAATGACTTGAATGTCATATATGTCATTATAACTATAAGCTAACCGACTAGACGCTTAAACTTGAATTCAATCAATGACAGCTCTAAGCAAAGGTGTAGGAAGCGGGGGGGGGGCAGGGGCCATCCCCCCATGGAATCTGGGCAAGGGGCCAAAAAGGGCCAACTTTTTAATTTAGGTTTCTAAAAATTGATGGGAAAAAATTTGTTCCCGAAAATTTTGAAAGTTTTCTTGAAAACTACTTTTGTTCATGTTTCATGCTTTTATGATCATTATAAGCCAAAAATATTTTTTTCGGTTTTCGAAGTTTGATATATGGTTTTGGACTCGAGGGTTCCCCTTTGTAATGCGATCTCGGTTAAGGCAGGCCTCCCCTTCGCAATACGAGCTCGGAAGCGGGAGCTCTGCTTTCAGAGGTACGTATCGAGAATGACTTGGACCGAAAATTTTCTAAGTCAAAATTTTGCAAAGTTTTTCTGGAAACTACTTTTGTTCATGTTTCATGCTATTGCTAGTGCTACCCTGATCATTCTGAGCCGAAAATATATTTTTCGGTATTTTGAAGTCCGTACCTACATTCGGAAGGATGTGGATGTGATACTGATTGGTTTCACATACTAATTATAAAAAACGTGATATTTGGCCCACAGATTTGAAGGAAAATACGCAAATTTGGTCCTCAGATTTAAAGGAAAATGCGCAATTTGACGCGGAGAAATTCAGGCTTTGGCGCGTAAGCGCAAACAAATTTAGGCAAATATATTTAGAATTTGGAGCTAAGCAATCTAAAACTGGATGTAGGAGAGACTGATTTAGCTAAAGACATTACCAAGACTCTCGCACCAGTCAAGACTGTAACTGAGTTTTTGTGTAAAAGAGACAGCATGCTCGCTCAAGCAAAAGTGGTTATTAAGTTTATTGACAGTTAGCTCGGGGAAATGGGTCAAACTTAATCCTTGTCATGCCCACCTGCAGTAGGTTCCACCAGGATCACTTGTAACGTTCATTAGTATAGTAGTATAGTGACATTCGAAAACCACGAACTTTCGTTATCGAACTTTAGTACGTAAATCGTCCGATAGTTAGTGAGAAGAGGAGCAATTGGTTTACAATTATAGCTCAAAGCTATCAAGATAAGCCCGAAGTGATTCGACTTCGAATGAAATCTACTGGAAATCCATTCATCACGGCCGTGAATCAAAATAGGATTTCCATCGTGGGAATAGGTACAAAGGTATGGAACTATGATCATTATGAGAAACCCCGGCACCGGTCATATCCGGAGGTTTTTACATTTACGAGCCGACTAGCTCCTAGACAGCTATTGACAGCCTGACAGGGTGGCTCACTTAAATTTGAACTGTGACACGTCCAAATTCCACGTTAAATTGGGGTTTTAATGTAGTAACCAGATTCATTATGAATAACATTTATGTCATGATAATCAATATGACCATCAGATGGTTAGGTTAGCGTGTAAAAAATATGCAATAAATTGTTGGTATGGTGACCAGCCTCACAGAGCTAGCTCTATGAGGCTGGTCAACAAACCAGCAGGACAATAAGAAAATGTAAATCATGCCCCGTCGATAGGTCTCAGCTATTTTAACATAAGTGGAAATATTCTCCTTAGCATCACGAGGCTATTGTTAACAAATAGGCTTAAAATTGTGTGTAACAGAATAAATATAATATAACTGGATGAACGACGAACGTATGTATAAACGCTTTACACCACTTTATATTTGCCGTACGGATGCCAAATATGGATCGCTTCCCCTGGTTTAAAGTTCTGACTGAAGATTGATGGAATTTTCAACTAAAACGATAAATGAGGAAGGAATTTAAACAGGCAACTAAGACTTTGCTTCATGGGTCATGTGCTGACATGCACCCTGTTAGCGTTCACGACTTCACGTGCACCCTCTCAGTTTCTCATTTGCAGATCTCATGCAGATGCAGCAGAGGTGCCGACCAGAGTAACAGGTGACTGTTAGAACAGTGATTATTGAACGTATGATAGATAACAACCGATACTACAGCGGTGGATTCAAATTCCGCCTGGTCAAACCCGGGGTGGACCATTTACATTAAGCGTCCCATCGGCTCCTGACACATGGTAGAACCTGGTAAGCTCGGGAAATTGGGTCAAACTTAACCCTAATTGTCATGTCCTCCTGTAGGTTTTACCTTATGAATTTATAAAATTCACTAGTGTAGTTATAGTATGGTGACACTTGAAAGCCACGAACTTTAGTTGCTCAAAGCTATCAAGATTAGGGTTGCCAACCGGTATTATCGGCGATAATTCCCCAAAAATTATTATTGATTATCGCGAAAATTTTCGAGAATTATCGCGATAATCAACAAATTTTTATTATGGTAAAATGGCCAACATTTAACATATTTTTCGAATCTATTTCTCAGTTTGTAAAGTTAAACTTAAAACCCAGTGCTAATGCTAGCATAATTTTCAGTGTGATGGTATGTGTGAATGAATTTGTGGCAGTGAAAATTGAAATGTTGCATTAAATCGGATCTAGTAGGTAACTTAGAGGTTGTATGGTCAGACGTAGTTAGTGTTGTTTGTTGAAGCACGGAAAGGAACTCAAACTGCAACGAGACTACGAAACCCGTTGGAGCTGGCTGTGCAGTATATGTTGGAGAGATATGACCGGATAACTGATGTAGTGCACGGAATTTTAGATGACTTGGAGCTAGGCAATCTAAAACTGGATGCAGGAGAGACTGACTTAGCTAAAGACATTACCAAGACTCTCGCACCGTTCAAGACTGCAACTGAGTTTTTGTGTGAAAAGAGACAGCATGCTCGCTCAAGCTTGGTAGTGCTTTTCGATATTGGTTGATAATTGATATCCCAATTTACCGCAAACCCCGATTTACCGCGGATATTTCTTTCCCCTAAATACTAATTATAGGGATTAACGTGAACATAAAACTCCGATTTACTGCAAACCCCGATTTGCCATGGTTGTTTCCTTTCCACCAAACTCCGCGGTAAATCGGGGTTTTGCTGTTTTTTATTTTTATTTACAAACATTGTTCTGCACCATAAAAGTCATAATATTCAACGTGTAAAAAACACATCCTTTTGATTTATTCACTTAATATTTTTTGGAAACGTCTTCATAATCAGTATGTGCATCTATAATATCCTACCGCCAACTACTCAAACTACCTTAAAATATATGGCTGGTTACATGAAAAGTACTCTGACCTGGACAGGGTTCAGGGTTGCAAGTCCTCGACTCCTCATTTTCCCCCTCGCATTTTTGTCCTCTGTTCGCTGGCCTTGGGTTTGTACAGGTCTTACTCCTGCTTTGAGAACCTCCTCCACATTTAGCAGAACAGACCGACCACTCTCCAAAGTCACTCCATCCACCGTCAACTGTTAACATATCCTTATTTGTGAATTTAAAAGCCACTGTTATTTGTTGTACGGCAAGGAAAAAAATAAATCGTGGGTTTACGTTAACTTTAAGTACAGTAAAACCCCGATTTACTGCGCCCCAATTTACCGTAAACCCCGATTTACCGCGGATATCTGTTTCCCCTAAATACTTATAGGGCTTAACGTGAAAAAAACTCTGATTTACTGCAAATTCATCTAATATGCTACCGCCAACTACTCAAACTACCTTAAAATATGGCTGGTTACATGAAGAGTACTCTGACCTGGACAGGGTTTAGGGTTGCAAGTCCTCGACTTCTCATTTTCCCCCTCGCATTCTTGTCCTCCGTTCGCTGGACTTGGGTTTGTACAGGTCTTACTCCTGCTTTGAGAACCTCCTCCACATTTAGCAGAACAGACCGACCACTCTCCAAAGTCAGTCCATCCACCGTTAACTGTTAACATATCATTGTTTGTGAATTTAGAAGCCACTGTTATTTGCTGTACGGCAATTGGAAAAAAATAATCGTGGGTTTAAGTTAAGTACAGTAAAACTCCGATTTACTGCGCCCCAATTTACCGCAAACCCCGATTTACCGCGGATATTTCTTCCCCTAAAAGTAAATAGGGCTTAACGTGAACAAAATACTCCGATTTACCGCAAACCCCGATTTGCCGCGGTTGTTTCCTTTCCCCCAAACTCCGCGGTAAATCGGGGTTTTCCTGTTTTTCATTTTGATTTACAAACATTGTTCTGTACCATAACAGTCATAATACTCAACGTGTAAAAAACACATCCTTTTGATTTATTCACTTAGTATTTTTTCGAAACGTCCTATTATAATCAGTATGTGCATTTAATATGCTAGCGCCAACTGCTCGAGCTACCTTAAAATATGGCTGGTTACCTAAAACTAAAGTACTATGACAGACCTGGGCAGGGATCAGGGTTGCAAGTCCTCGATTCCTCATCTTCCCCCTCGCATTCTTTCCCTCCGTTATCAGGACTGGGGTTTGTACAGGTCTTACTCCTGCTTTGAGAACCTCCTCCACATTCAGCAGAACAGACAGACCACTCTCCAAAGTCACTCCATCCACCTTCAACTGTTTTACAAGTGTAGTCACATTTCTTCAAGATCTCCTCCACCTGCGCACACCTCTTCGTCTGCCATTTCCTCAATTTGCCCTCTCCTGTAGCCACACAGTCTTCTATTTCAGATTTGAAGCCACTGGCAAGGCATCTATTAAACGGCTTAACATGTTGCATTTTGCATTTTGCATCCACAACTGTCAAAATGAAAAGAGTAGCTGCGGCTAGCACAAGAGTTCGCATTTTATCAAAGGTTCAGAGAATAATGATACAAATAAATGGTATGTGCATTTTAACTAGCTAATATTAACCCATCATGGAAGAGTGTGCAGCTATGCAAGTGTACACAATGCATTGGTTTAAGAAAAGGAACTGCTTCACAAAGCGTAATCACGCTTCACGTGACTTTAATACTATACACGAGAAGCAGTGTACTCCTTCACCTAAGCTTAGGAAGTCTATCAAGATCAGAGTTTTTACAGCACTAATTGTCGAATCGGTGCTTTTGTACGGTTCTTGGAGACTTTGGCGAAAAGGTTTGAGAAAATGGTTGATGGTTGCTATGCGCGAATGTTAAGAATGGCCCTTAACATCAATCAATATCGAGACCATGTCAGCAACCACAGTCTGTAGTTGTACGATGAACAGACATCCAGAGCTGACACTAAACAAACTAATCTTCTGAAAGCCGAGTCATAGGCATACTAACAGGGGGCGACCTTACTTAAAAATCAGTAGTTCCCACAGTCAGACAACGAATGAGTAAAACATTTCCAACAAAATCTTTATAACATTTTCGGACATCTTCAGTACCTAATAAAGATAAGGGTTAATACTCCAATTTAATTTATATCAAAAAAAGAATTTTTAAAATTAAAGGGTTTTAGGTTAAGGAAATTAAAAGTGAAACGCTCAAAAATGAAATGGAAAGCACTCGGGTATGGGGGGTTGTGAGGCCCCAACTAGAAGAAAAATACTAGTCTCTGCATAAAAGATGAAATAATTTAAGGACCATTATCAATTTCAAAAGTTTTATTTTCAAATAAAAATGGCATACCAAAAGGATCACATGAATTAATACCATACGGTTTCAAAGTTTTGAGTTTTTGTATGAAAAGATGTTCGACCTAAATTGATATTAGTATTACTAGATAACCTAAAAGCAGATACTGGGCTGAAGTCAGTCGATGAGATAGCTAGACTGATGTAGACAGAAAGCTGTAGAGAACTGTTGTCAATGGATCTCGGGAACACTTCCCGCCTTAAGTCAAGTAAGTGTAACACACCGTAACGACTTTACAGTATAATATGTAAGTGTAACATACCGTATAAACGACGACTAATCTCAGACACACCGTGTACCTTATCGGACCTTATTTGGACGGACATTACATGAACGGACATAATTCTGAATGGACATTAATATGAACGCTCGAAGGCATTCAAAACCATCAAAAATCCGAATTTTTTACAATTTTTGACGTTTTTTAATTTCAGCAAATGATTTTTTATCCATTTTTTATACAGTAAGTAAAAATAGCAGTCATTAAGCAGTAAAAATGTTAAAATATGTGTACATGATCAGTGTCTAATATCACATATCATCTTCATTAAATGGGTTTTCGTGCATGAAATAGTCCATGCTTAAACAAGCATCAGTGATTTCTAGCTTTGTGGAAACCTTTTTTTATCAAACTACCCCGGTCCTGCATCATGCATTTCAGTGTCAACTTTTACAAGCCATTCGGCGTGAAGTGGTTTTATCTTAGACAACTTTAGGTTAACCTTAACATCACGTGGAGCTTTCCTAGCACTGTTTCATTACCTCCCCTCAGAAATATAAACTATAAAAACGTCGGACAATGTCCTTGGCAACACGATTTACCGTAATATCTAGAGGCTGGAACAAGTTTGTCATGTTTGCGGGGACTAGCTCATGAACTATGTTGTTGAGTGCCATGATTTCGTTGACTTTTTCCGCCAAGTGACCCTTGAAAACATCATATACTACTACTAGTAGAGTTTTCTGTGCCTCCGGCAGACCAAGGAAAACCTTTCCTTGGTCTTCCCGGCACAATAAAGTTATCATAGTTGTCATATTCTGGGTAAAAAGTTGGAAATGGAAAAATTTTTGAAAAAATTTCAACGGACTTTAACTTGGACGGACATTAATTGAACTGACTTTATTTGAACGGACATTAAGATGAACGCTAGGGCCTCCAGCGTTCAAGTAATGTCCGTCCAAATAAGGTCCGATAAGGTATATCCGCGGTGACTGCCAGATCTCAAAACTGGTTAGAGTTACAATCTACAGACAATACAACCATGGGCGAATGATAAATATTTCAGATTTCTAGCTCAATTTTAACATGGTTTTGGCCAAGGCACCTGAATATGGCGATTTTGGGTTTTTACCGAATTTCGTATAACAGTGCTGGTGCGTATTTTGCACACATTTCTTAAAAACCTCCACATAACTATTTCTTATTCCTGTCATTTTAATACTTCTAACATAACTATATAACAAATAATTTGAGCCTGAAGATGGCGTGGACGCCGAAAATTTGCCTACAGTCCTAACTTCCTCACTTCCTGTTTCATTTGTCCTTGTAGTTGTCTCTTCCAACCGGATAGGCAGATATTATCCAACTATCAGTATTCCTGTCATCTTTGACATTGAATTAGAATATGTTGAACTTGAAATAAACCTGCTGAACGACTTCTGATGAGTCTTATAAATGCCTGAAAAAACAGTAAAGGGGTATACTAGTATTATAATAGGGGGTATAATTATGCCTTATCGGTCATAATTAACACGGACATTAATTTCATGCTGATATTTCCATTAATTTTAGTGTGTCATGTGTCACTGTCCCTACATATGCGTAGATATGTGTGTGGCCGATTACTATATTAGTTTATTAGTAATAGTATACTAAGACAAATATGATCACTCCACAGTCACATTCTAGAGTTCAGAAAAAGAGTAAAACACTTATTAAAAAATCGCCAAACATTTTCACAATGTTTCGGACATTTTTGGGCGGTCATGAGCGTGAATAATTATGTCCGTGAAAATTTTGGTCCGTGAAAAACTTGTCCGTGACAATTATGTCCGATAAGGTAGTATAGGTGGTATGAGGGCATGGTCGTACTTGCCAGCACTATGATTACAAGTGTTATAATATACAATGAACAATATATAATTATAGCGGAGGGAGGGTAGTTAAGCCGTGAGATGTATATACAAAACAAATAGCCGTTATCCAATGGTGATCATAACGAGACAACTCGTCTCTAGTCCCCACTTTAAGTTTAAACAAAGCAACTTTTGCCGTACCTTGTTTTATTTCCCAATAAACATATGCCCATGTTGAGTGTAGACTACTCAAGATAGCCTTTCCAACGTTCTAAGGTTAATTGACGATGTCAATTCATGGCAGCTCGGCGCGGCACAGTAGCGCATTTTGCCGATCTAGCCTGTGAGAAGCCTTATTGAGTGCGTGGCGCGGCACAGTAACGCATCGCGCTACAAGTTCTAAGGTTATCTTGTATCAGTATCACGTGGTGACCCCCACGGTCGCTTCACTGTAGAGTTTCGGTGATACAGGGGGAGTCGCGCACTCATGCGCGGCGGGTCATACAACGTATGACAAAGGTTATCATTGAAAGTTACAATTTCTTACTCTTATAATGCAGGGTGAACTCGCTAGTTAGCGATATACCTTATCGGACCTTATTTTACCGGACATTAAATGATCAACGGACATAATTATGAACGCACATAATTTATAATTTATAATTATGAAGGGACATTAAAATGAACGTTCGAAGGCATTCAAAACCATCAAAAATCCAAATGTTTTCATCTTTTTTTGGTGTTTTTAAAATTATAAAATGTCAGGTCCTGCATTTCAGTGTAAACTTTTACAATATGTGGAGGTAAATAATAACTCCGAAGAAGTGAACGAAGAAGACGAAGATCAAGAAAGCGATCATGCCATGTGTTAAATAACGGGTGATACTCGTAAAATATCTGTTCCATATATTGGACCGTCGACGAGTCCAACTCGGCGCGCGTCCTGGTAGGTTGTAAACCTACAAGGTACATACTACATAGAATTAGATACATGTATGCCGTATGGACATATTAACAGATTGGGTTGGCACTTGGCATCCTCATAATCTGCAATAAACCCAGGCCAGGTCCAGTTTATGTAACAGTTACCGTCTCTGGATTACCTGGGGACCTCAGGCTGACAGTGTTCACTGTTCATGATCACACAAATAGAAGCTGCGGCGGCCGAATGCAAAATGATGCAAAATGATACTGAGAATGAAATAGGATTAGGTCGCTCGCTTTTCCAATTTATTCGCGGCTTACGAATTTTTATCAATTTACAATTTAGGTTTATTACATCGATTACACTCTCTAGAAATCGCTTAGGGTTGCTTTCGGGCCGATATCTTAAATGATAATCTCAATAAATAGTGTGTGTGCGGGAAATTTCCGATCGGTAAGAGTTTCGGGACGGGTTTTTTCGGTATAGTGCCGACAAAACTTTATAAATCTTTATTCCACTGGAAAGTTTTTAAAATAGGATAATGTTTTTGATAAAATTGTTTTTAAATATCGTATTTGATAAATAATTAATGTTGGTGGGGAAATATTTATTGATATTTTTCACATAGTGCGATGATATTTAGTAGACATGTGTGATGATGTGATGTCATAAATTTTACTTTACTTTACTCTACTTTACTTTACTTTTTCATCTTCCACAAATGCTTTGGTTGTGAAGATTCATCAGAACTTGTACAGCAAATTACTGGCGGCGCTGACCCTGTAATTTCGCCGCAGCTTCAATCTGTTTCTATGAACGTAATAGCCTGGGTTCCCTTGTATCACGTCGTGACCCCCATTGTCGTTTCACTAAGTGTATCGTGACTACGATACAGCCGCGCACTCGCGCGCGGCGGGTCTATAACGTATGAGGATTCCCCAGGTAATACCTTCGACACAGTAAAAACAAACAGTTGCGTTTAAATAGCAGTAAAAATTTGTAGTTCAATCACAATATCAATTCCACAAACCGTACCAAGATTATCAGATTTACTTTAATTGTTGTCTTCGAAATCGATTCATACTATTGAACTGCCTATGGGTATGGCTCTGGATTAGAATTGTGAATTAGATCTAGGATATTGCAGTTACTAAGCCAGTTTTTCGACCAGCTTTTCATCTTGTTACCCGTCACTCGTCAGGCCCATACTTTTGACAGAAGTTTAAATCGATTTCAAGACTCTTTAACACCTAAATGATATTAGCCTAGTAAGGGAATCTACAAAAGGATATTAAGGACCTCCAGTTGGGGTCAACGGTAAAGAATTAACAAATACAAAGAAAGTTACGAGTTCGGATAACCAACCACACTGGGAAAACCTACATCAAATTAAAGATTAAGTTTACCATGAAAGTTCTTCGAGCAGATATTTCTTATCATACAACATCAAACCACGCTGAAGTATCAAACCTCCGTTGTGACATTAAAACCGGTAAATTCTTAAATCGGCACTACCCCGAGAAATAAAGTTACATATTACATAAACCTAAACCGTCAACGATTATGTAACAAAAAACATTTATGGATACAAAAATATATATGACTACTGCGTCATAAGTTAGTAAAAACACGATAGCACAGAAAAATAACGCTCTTCAATCACACCATTCAAACCTATGTGGTATAGTAGCTGTCTTCAAAATAGCATAAAAATAACAAATCTAGCAGATATAATATTTTCCGTGAAATAGAATAATTATTTACAAATGTTACAACAAAGTTTATTTAATCAGTCTCTTGTCTTCGATTTACGTTCCTTGCGATACGATCGCTTGAGGACGAAGACATTGATTTCTTTCACCTTAAAACTTCGAAACACACGACACTTTTCAGCTCGAATTTGCGACATTCTGTCTTGCATACATTTCTCAAACTTAAATTAGTAAATCTGGAACGTTCTGATGGGCCGTTAGGCGGGATGGTTGCTGATTCAGGATAGTATGTTAGGTGCAAACCTGAAATACAAAATATTTAATAACTCAGAATTGTTCATTGTAACGATAGTTTGGACAATAAAAATATCTAATAACAAAGAAGGCGAAAAGGCACATTGTTTACAAGAAGTTAACAACACAGAACATAATCTGAACAGTAAGAAGATCAGATGGACACTAATTTAGTCCCTGTCAACCTCTCCCTGATCTAAATATTATCTGTTATATTTAATACTAATACTTATTTATTTAATACTAATACTTATTTATTTAATACTAATACTTATTTATTTAATACCAATACTTATTTGCACTTTATTTACCTTGGATACTCCTGCTGTGGTGGGTTGTTATAGTTGAATCTATTTTGGTTGTTTTGACGCTGAAGCGTCATACTATAATTTGGTAAGTTGGGATTTCTCCTGTCCACTGATGGGTTGTTGCCAAAATTCCTTGGCAATGTCTGAAAACCAACACAAGATAATCAAGAGTTTTTTTTTGTGATTCAAAACAGATTGTAGGTGATTGGTAAAAAAGAATTTCAAACACGCAAGGAATTGCACTTCAGCTGAACGAAGGATAACACAGCACACATTGTTACAAAGTTACCTGTGCCCCGTGGACATCGCTGTACATATTCTCGGTAGGATCTCTGGAGGCTATGTTAACCTGTAACAACCTCTCATCTTCTTGAGTCATGTGACTACGGTAGGGAGAGTTGTTTAACTTGTCCAGATCTTGTGGCATTATCATGCTGTTGTTCATATTGTTGTTTATTGGCATCATCGGGGTGTTGTCAATCTTTTTAGGACTCGTCTGAAGAGAATTTGGATTGAGAATTAGACTTAACTTCAAAATTATTTGCAGCCTGGATAAAATATGCAGCCGATCTGTTTTTGAGATAAATTATTGTTATTGAAAAGTAGATTAGAAACAAATTACTGCTTACCATATAACTTATAGGCTTATCGGATATGATATTAGTAGAGTTTGTTCTATCAGCGAATGATTTCCTCTTTTTAGATTCATTCTTACTCTTAGTTGTACTTCGACCTTTGTAGAACATAAGGAAAACGATTATAAAAATGGAAACGATGAAGAGAGATCCGAACACCAGAGCCAATATCTTGTAGAGTCCACCATCGTCGGACAGTGTTCCGAAACGGGCCTCTTTCGTGGTGATATTCTCAACATCTGTAGTTAAAGTAATTTAGAATATACAAAGGATCATGGTTAAAGAACATATGAATTGATTATGTTCCGTGCTTAATATCTTACCAGTATGTAAGTTCGACGAGTGTAATTTGAAGAATCTCTTTAGAAGTATACACTATACAGTATACATACCAGTAACATTATCGCTGATAGGCCCAGTCCTCTTCCAAACACCAGTATAAGTACAGTTCTCCCTTTCGCTTCTCATCTCCAATATCTTAGGGTAAACCTGCATGAACTTGATAATTTTCTCTCCTCTATTACAGGCCTCCTCGTACTCATCACAAACAGCCACACAAGGCCCCTCCTTCTCCCAGATATAGTCGGTTAGTCGACCAAACGCTGTCGGTACGCTCCCGGAAACTGGGTCGTTTACACATTGATCACTGTGGGGTGGGAGTGTTAGAAATCAAATTACTGGAGTTTTTATCGATAGTAAAAGTGATAATGAAGAACTAGTTAATCTGTCTCACAGAGCTTTTGTTGCCATAACTTGTAACACTACTATTAAATGACACAACTAACCAGTCATTTATATGAGAGCAAGAGTGAGAGGTCTGGCACCAGCAACAGTGGGGATCTTGTATCGTTATACAAGTGTCCAACTCGAGATGTGCCTTACATCTGGACACTGGAAACTTGGAGACTGAGTTCTCTGTGGATACCACTAGATCACGATTCTGAAGTGAAGTTTGGTTTAGCCAAAAGGGATTACTGAAAAATACGCAACTTAGCCCTTAAAATTTGGCTGGATGAGCAAGATACTTACTTTTTGAAGGCCCGAACGATTAGAGCATGTCCGTCCAGATAACGGACACCGTACGTTACCCAGCCCTAGCTAGATAACTATTCGCGCGCGCGCGCGTTGCATGCATGCATATATTATATATATGCATGCATATCATGCGCGGCTCTTTTTTGCGCAGTAACAATCATCATCAATGTTATTGCGCCTTCCGTATCTGCATCGCAAAAGTCACTGCTCCTAATTCAATTTCGGGTTTTTATGTTTCGAAACCGACCAGTCATAGTCATATAATAAGAGGACTTCATGAATAGATCATATCGATTAATATAGCCCTATTTGTGTCCCGGTTGATAAGTTTCAATTTGATTATATCGAGATAATTTACATTATTACTCTTTGAGACCCAAAGAAATTAGAGCATTTTAATTCCTCATTGTAAGCGCAAATAGTTCTTTGGAACCCTCTTATAGAATCATTAGAAACATGAATAGGTCACTTTCTTGAGCAATCTACACGTCGAACAATTGATTGAATAACTCGACTGCAAGGCAACTGGAAAGTGTCTTCGAGTGAACCAGCTCAAATTACATCAAGTAATACTTTCATGCGAGGTAATATAATTTAAGATCATTATGCAGAATAATGGTCTTACAAATTATATAACTTACTCCGGAGTTAGCAAACTGCATCGACATCACTCGTACATGGGGTTCCTGAAAGTTGAAAGGTTTCATTTCTATTTGTGTAACTGTGAGATTGATAACCATGGCAAATAACGATTAAGAAGAATTGGAACAGATTGGAACACGGAAAGTTTAACACCTTCACACCGACGAGAAGTTTAACATTTTGTGTGCAAAGAAAGAAAGCTACAAAATACAGTAAAATACCGAATAACTTACTGCAATAACGAATTCAGTAGTTAGGACAAGTTTGTTATCCGGGGCAATAACAACTTTCTCGACTGTTCCGGTGTTAGTTCCGACATAGAGCATTGTGTGTTGTCCTACTGTTTCAGATAACACCGTCATAAATCTGGGGAATGATTGGTATTTAAATACTTAGCTATTACATAATTACAAGCATAATTACAAGCATAATTACCTGCATAATTACGATTATTAGAAATCAATTGACCATGGATACGGTATAATTTCTCTAATTATAGCGCATAGATTACTATTTCAGGTAATAAATCAGGTACTAAATATGCCTCAGCATAATTTCATTGCCAAATGAATGACACTAATTACTATTCAAGATAGTTCTCAGATCAGTATTATAATATCATATCTTAAAATCGCTGAATTAAACTGCACGTTATGTCCTGCCCTTCTACCCTGAACCAATGGGAACCACAGATTTGTAGATAACAGGCCATTACTGCTAACAGTTACACCGTTTTAGACCGTTACAGGGCCATTTAGGGCAGAATTAGTTTCCTGTGCATAGACAACACTCTGTATAAGGTGCAGTTTTAAGGAGGGGGGTTTCCCGCCAAAAAGTAGGGCTTTAATAGTACTACCGCTCAACTCAATATAAGAGTGTGCTAATTTTAACGAGTTTTAGCTAATGCTAATGTTACTAATAATATTTTCATGTGGTGTAATAATAGAAATAACTATTTTTAGTGTCCATTAAACTGAGATTTGCTACTTTTACTAATGAAATTGTACTAAATACTAATGATTTAAAATAGATTTAACTATAATCACATTGTTGTAATGTATAATGGCTCCTGAGAAGACTACTACGGAGAAAAATGGTGATAAAATACGCATAAAAATGAGGAGAGGTTGTCATTTTCAGAGCGAAGAACAAGGCCAGAGGTTCAATATCAATCATCTCTTTCTAAAGTGACGACAAGAAAAGCACTTTCTCCATTCCCACACGAACCACAACACCCCTAAACTGGGGATGAAGTTGCATATTTCCTTTCATCAACTCAATAGGTTCTCAATAGGTAGGAACTGCCACACAATATTAGCTACATTAGTTTACACATGGTGTGTTGGCATGTGTACAGAGTGGTTTAAAGAAGACCTTCAACTCTCTTTCGGTCAATACAAACCGTACTTCCTAGCCAGTGTACACTTTACTTTATAACTAGTACACTTTACTTGGTAACGCTGTTAAAGCAGATAAATGTACTGCTAGTACACTTTACTTGGTAACGCTGTGAAAGCAGATAAATGTACTGCTAGTAACCAGTGTACACTTTACTTTATAACTAGTACACTTTACTTGGTAACGCTGTTAAAGCAGATAAATGTACTGCTAGTACAAGTTTGCTAATTGATTTGTCTAGATTTGCTGTTACCCTAAAACAGCATTAGGGGATAAAAGGTAATTAGGGATGGCCATCGTACCTAATTAACCATTATGCCGATATTAAGAACAAATCCTAAGTCTCTTTTGCCTCTAGAAAATAGTGAAATTAATTAAAATTAATTTTAAAATAAATAATTGCTCTGGTACTGACTTCTTAAGCTCGTAGTAGATGGGGAAGGGAGTAGTCTGAGTGACTATGGTACTAGTTGTGTAGAGACTTCTAGCGTCGTGGTGAGTTCTGTAATCTACACACTGAAATAGAAAACTGGTTAATACTTCTATTTATTTAATCTCTCAAAAGGTTTCATTCACACCAGAAAACTTGTAAATACTTTACTTTATTCGTAGTATTCAATATTCATTTGTTGAAAAGAAAAAACGAATGGACCAGAAAACTTGTTGACACTTTTCTTTATTTATACTTTTCTATGATTTATTTATTAAAACGAAAAACGGAATTGGGCGTTAAAGAATGAGTTGTTTGGCTACATTTACTTTTAAACATATGTCATTCAACTTGAAGCGGCCGAAAGGTTACAAAGTTTATTCAATTTCGCGGCAAAAATTTGCAAACTTATCTTACAGATTATTGTTGTTCATCCCAACATAAAGACAAATGAGGAGAGAAAACTTTAAAGCTTTTGGCACTTCCGGCGAATAAGCAAAGGTTTTAAAAGGAGGCTTGCTCATCCCACTGCTTGCTAATAATACTGTGATTAGATTTGAAGTTCACACTCGACAAGGACAGGACTTCCTCATGATTTAATTTGTCAAGTTTACTGTCGTAGGTACTGAATATTAAGTGACTAATTACCGGTTCATTTCACTGGTTATCTTATATACCGTCACCACAGCAACTAAATATACTCAAAACTCGTTCAGATCTAAATTTGTTTAAAATTCTCCAGTCTAATTCATGATAGTTGTTTTGAGACTTGGACCATGGTTCCCAATTTGTGGCTGTCACTTAAAATTCATTAACCGTGTTCTGCATGGGCAAACGTTAAGAAACAATGAAATCCACCACGATCTTCAACTTACAATGGAAGCTAACATGTTACTGTGGTTATCAAGCTCAATCCGTCGACCGAGTTGTTCTAAAAATAGACTTGACAGAGAAGGTTTGTAAGTGTTTCCACCCCATATCAGGAATAATAATAATAATGTCACAAATTATGCGATTCAATATGCATACTATTATTTTTATGGAGCAGATATTATTAATCGATATCCATCTGATCTATCACTAGCATGTATTACGCAATATGTTTCAAGCTCGCGGGCCAAGTAATATAAGTACTGTCCACTTATAATATGATCACCATATTCCAGTAACTAGTACAACATTACACATGTGGTGTATCAAGATACGACACTAAACATGATATAATAAGACTGATCATATCATCTAGATATTAAGTCACTATTACCAACATTGCTCAGAAGATGATATCTCTAATTTAACATCCTACACGTTAAGGTACCAGGTACAGAAAGAGTCAACTTGTAACTTGAAGCTGATCACACTGGTGGATTCTCGTACGTAATCCCCCACAGTCCACACCTATCCGTTTAGTCTTAACTCCACTATTTACAGGTCATAAATTCATTATGTAACGGAAATCATGAATGTCTGAGAATGATTATACAGCGGACGTACGTGGGTTTTGTTTTCTATGAGGGGTAGGAAACAGAGATAGTACTGAAAAGCGAAACAATTCGGTCCATTTCAAAAGAAAACCCCAAAGTGCCCGTTTCTCGGCAGTTAGCAGTTGTATATTGGTACCCCTGCTATAGACTGAAGCTCTACGCGCCTCTACAGACTTGACAGTCTTTATTGAAGATGTAGACCTGCACACTGCGGTCATCCCAATTCTAAAAAACTACCACCTCCTCAGTTTTTCCCAGCAACACACCTCAACACGAGTGGGCCGGTTTTGACCACGCTTCTAAGTCTTAACCACCTGCCAAACGTCTGACCTAACGATCAGGTCACCAAAACACCTCAACAGCTGAGTGCTGACAACTCCAATTCTCCTAAAAGGTGGGAATATGTGGCGCTGGCTCACGCCTCAATCAACTACAGTGTCTGATTTAACTAGAGTCGTTATTGTAACTCGTGACATGAGAGGTCCGCGTCAACAGATATACCTGTTTTTAGACTCAGAACTGAGCTTTAATTATTAGTTAATTAGATAATTATTAGAACCTGAAGGTTAGGGCGGTGGATTCTTTTCTCCGTCATGTTATGTTTAATGTTCAGCGACTTATCGTGGCAACTTGGTTCGGATTACCTGATAGCCGTGGTGCATTCCTAAGATATTTTGTGACCTGGGGACGGAAACAGAATCATTGACCATGATGTCATATTGTAATGACTGTAGTTTGTAAAACCTGTTTCTCACGGATTTTCGTTTGGCTGACTAAGATTGCAAGAAAATAACCATCAATATAATTTGTCTCGACCTTGAAGGCATTATGAAATTACATTAATCACGCGACACTGGATATCTGTAATAATACAAGTAAGTTTAATACAATATATAAGACTGTGCTCTAGTTTCACAGTTCTCGATTTAGCAGGTTAAGTGTCGCGGCACAGCCAGTACTGATGAAATGAAGCCTGGTTGAAAGCGGAGAGAAACTTCCATTCCATCTCATTTTAGTGGAATATCAAATGATGGAGTAGTTCGCTGTATATCATGATTGAAATACTGATAGTTTTAATACTTTCAACACTACTATATAACAAATATTTTGAGCCTGAAGATGGCGTTGACGCCGAAAATTTGCCTACATTCCTAACTTCTTGTTTCATTTGTTCTTGTCTATTCCAACCGGATATTATCCAACTATCAGTAATTCATTTTAGTGGCTTTAACACTTACAGGAACACTTGCCCTAAAACAGAACTAAGAACATTAGAGTATTCTATTCTCAGTACAGCTCAAGATAACAGTACACGTCTGTATTACAAGATATTATGAGAGTTAGTGAATTAATGGACGCTGATCAATGCCATGATTAAATAGATGCGTTTTGTTTATAATTCTATTGGTAAACAAATATAAGTGAGCAGGCTAGTGGTCATTGTAGCGACATTGTGTTATGAGTTGTGCATGAATAATGCCGCCTTTTTCAGTACTTGCTGGAGATTTTGCAGCCAAGCATGAAGCAGCACCATGATCTTGAGCAAGCAAGAATAAAGAACAGTGTAGAGCAGAGAATAAACGAGAGCAGTCCCCTACAGAGTCTGACAATGGTCCTGACCACCAACACATTACTAGCGACTCTTGGCAGAACTCCAACGAGAAAATAAAGTGCATGATGAACGTATTTTTACACGATTTACATTTTACATTTATCCGCAAAGAATGATTGGTCTGAGAACAACATCTAACAATGTCTGCATCACATCTAACTTAGTAGCATTCACTTAGTAGCTCAAATAATTTGACAAATCTACGAAAGTATTCCAGCCTTTCAACGTCACACTCATTCACTAAACTATATAATATACTCTTTCTGTTAACTACAGAGCGTATTATATTAGTACGGTATTATACTCAATATAATATCACGAGTGACGGGACACGAGGCCAGATTTAATATGGCAGGGAGTGAGTTCATGTTCCGTTCACAGGACACTGGAGAAATTGTGGTTAACGCTCTGCTGGTCCGGACTATGTTTTACAAGGACGCTATTGTGCTCCTAAATTTGTCAGGCTATTAATGTATTATATCCTGTCAGACCTTCTAGAGATCCATTTGCTTTGTAATAGTAACAGAATCATGGAGCCGGCGATGGTCAAAATTTGGTAGGTGATTGATACCAGTACGGTTGATCTGTTACGAGTGAACCACACCGAAATAATATGCATTTTAATGCAAGTGGAATAATACAAATTTGTCTATATTAGGAGTTGGGTTAGAAACTTCCACTTGACCTACGACTAAAGACAAAACCATAAATATCTGAAACCCTGAACCCATTTAAAGTTCTCATATAAATCACAAGTTTGTTGCTGATCTGTGAAGGGTGCTGGTAGTTGACGCCTGGCGCCTGCATCTCAGTGTTAACTGGTAACCCACCACAACCTCACCAACAACACACTAACACACTCCCCTTACTCCTTTATAATACACTCTCATTAATCAGAGAGTAGCTGGATATAAGTGTGACAACATCAGTAATATCCACCTACAAGACAAGGGAGGAGACAAGCCAGGGGAGAGAGAGATGTTTCAGTGCAGTGCACACTGTCACACTGAGATAGAATATATTTACAAATTGACAAGCAGAACCCCGACTCTAGCCAGATGAGATGACGTGCTCTACACACTCTCTCTCTCTCTCTCTCTCTCTCTTCTCTCTCTCTCTCTCTCTCTCTCTCTCTCTCTCTCTCTCTCTCTCTCTCTCTCTCTCTCTCTCTCTCTCTCTCTCTCTCTCTCTCTCTCTCTCTCTCTCTCTCTCTCTCTCTCTCTCTCTTTTCCTCTCTCTCTATCTGACTGTGAACTCTACATGTGACAGGACGAGAGGACGTTAGAACTGACTTATCCCGCTATTTTCACTCTGCTTATCACTTTTAACGTGCTAGTAGGATCTGTTGGGAAAGTGCCAAGCTATCACTTAGCACAGGTGAATGGTGAGGCCGTGAGGTGCAATACACAGCGCTGAGTGGTGGTACGGTGCAGGGTTGAATATGTTTGGATAGTGTTGAATATGTTATGGATAACATGTTGTTCTTACTCATGTTAGTCAGGCTCTGGTTGGAGATGTGTCCAAGTTGTAAAGGTTGGTGAGGGAGTGTCCAATGATCTGTACAATAGCTAAATAGAGTTCATGCGCATAAGTAACAGATCCCCCCCCCCCCCCCCCCCCCCCCTCGCAGATGTTATTATACTAGCTGTGATTACTGACTAAAACATAATATGTTGTAAAGGTTATATTGAACATCTGGTACACTCGGCCAATGTATTGTTTATAGCAATTTGCAGAACTCATCAGCTAACTGATAGGTTCTGTATCACATTACTTGGGTCAGCTAATTTATGTGTTGTATATAATATTATATAATGTATATAATATACACTATATACACTATGACCGCGTAAAATGTTGTTTATTTAGAAACATTTATACACATGATGTACAGAATATATAAAGTAACGATTATTTTGGTCAAACTTGTATCACGTGACCTTACTTCCCACAAAATACAACAGCTCAATTTGACTTGCTGATCTGGTGT